CCTCTAAATGATTGTGAGGAAGTTTATCAATCTCAAAAGAAAACTGACTCTAATGTAGCAACTAGAAGAAGTGAAAGGCTTAGTGCTAAGCCTCGAATATCTTATAATAAAGATAATGATAGCTTGACTAATTACGTTTTAAATGCACATATAGTCTTCGATGAGATTCCAAGTTCATTTGAAGAAATAAAATTAAGAAGCGACAAATCTGCTTGGGAGGAGGCAATAAAAACAGAACTAGAGGCTCACAAAATTAATAACACTTGGACAATTACAAAGAAGCCAGCGGATAAGAATATAGTTGACAGCAAATGGGTATTCTCTATTAAATATAATGAGCTAGGAGTCCCAATTAAATATAAAGCAAGATTAGTTGCAAGAGGTTTTACCCAGCAATATAAAGTTGATTATGATGAGACTTTTGCCCCTGTTGCTAGAATCGCAAGTTTTAGATGCATTCTAGCATTAGCAGTTCAGTATAATTTAAAAGTTCATCAAATGGATGTAAAAACAGCATTCCTTAATGGTACATTGAATGAGGAAATATATATGCAACCTCCTCAAGGTGTACAATGTGATGAAGGAAACATTTTAAAGTTAAATAAAGCTATTTATGGTCTTAAACAGGCAGCTAGGTGCTGGTTTCAAGTGTTTGAGCAAGTATTGAAGGAATGTAGCTTTATAAACTCTCAAGTAGATCGTTGTATATATATCCTAGATAAAGGTGATATAAAAGAAAACATTTATGTATTATTATACGTTGACGATGTAGTAATAGCTACAGAAAATATTAAAAGATTAAATAACTTCAAAGGTTTTATGAGTAAACGATTCAGGATGACTGATTTAAATGAAATACGACATTTTATAGGTATCAGAATAGAAATGAATCAAGATAAAATTCTTTTAAGTCAGTCTGCATATATAAAAAGAATTCTAAATAAATTTAACATGGATGATTGTAATCCTGTTAGTACTCCCTTACCGAATAAGTTAGACTATGACTTGCTTAACTCAGATGATGAATGCAACGCCCCTTGTCGAAACCTAATTGGATGTCTCATGTATGTAATGTTATGTACTAGACCAGATCTAACTACTGCTGTAAATATCTTAAGTAGATACACGAATAAAAATAACAATGAATTATGGAAATGCTTAAAAAGAATTATAAGATATTTAAAAGGGACCATTGATATGAAACTTATCTATAAAAAGAATAAATTGCATGAAAATATACTAGTTGGTTATGTAGATTCTGATTGGGGTGGAAATCAAATTGATAGAAAAAGTACAACAGGCTACTTATTTAAAATATTCGAATCAAATCTAATTTGCTGGAATACAAAAAGACAAAACTCTGTAGCTGCTTCATCAACTGAAGCTGAGTATATGGCCCTATTTGAAGCCGTTAGAGAAGCTTTGTGGTTGAAATCTTTACTCACTAGTATTAGTATTAAATTTGATAAGCCGATTAAAATTTATGAAGATAACCAAGGATGTATTAGTATAGCAAATAACCCCTCATGTCATAAAAGAGCCAAACACATTGATATTAAATATCATTTTTCAAGAGAGAAAATTGAGAATAACCATATATGCATTGAGTATATATCCACAGAGAAACAACTGGCTGACATCTTTACCAAACCGCTACCCGCTGGACGTTTTGCAGAGCTACGAGATAGTTTGGGATTGCTTCAAGAGAAATAACAATATACATATACTTATATATGCGTGTGTATACATACAAATGTATATCTGTATACAGAGATATTGAATTCTATGAATTATTTTATTTTTTTTTGTTAAACAAAAGATATTTTGAATTGTTAATTTTTTTTTTAATTTTTTTTATATATATATCCATTATGTTTATATGATTTATACAAATGTTTAAGATAATGATCTGATCGGGTTTTTCTGGGTTTTCCCCGTATCCTTGCAGCGAATGCTGGATCATTTAACACTTCCCAGATAGCACACCAACCACTTAAGTTTAATATTTCTCGAATTGAATTATTTATGTATTATTTTTCAAAAGTTATAATAATGTTATTCTTGAGGAGGGCGTGTTGAAATACCAGATTCAATAATAACATTATTGTATAGTATTTAAGTGATGTTGAAATACCAGATTCGATAATAACATTATTGTATAGTATTTAAGTGATTTATCATATAAGGACATTTGGTCACACTGAATTATGATCTGTCTCTCTTTAAATATTCTCTCAAGTGTAAAGACGTGGTTTTGGTGTTGCTGAAATTAATCTATTAAAATAAACTGAATCATATAACTAAATTAAAAGATAAATACTCTATTATTTCTCTAAAGTAAAAAGCTAGTTTTCCAACAGAGTGATAATACAATTTCAGATGCCAATATGTTTATGGCATCTGTAGTTCCGCTTCGGTTAAGAAAAGGCAGTTCTGATTATTGGAAGAATCCGCGTCCCTCTTCTGTACATTTTTGCCGTCCAATCCTTGTTCAGTATACCAGGGAGTCTATAAATTTTTAATTTTTTTTAACTATGATTGATGGTAAAATTCTTAACGAATAAGTACTATGTCAACTTCAACGTGCGCTATTTGTAAGAAAACACAAACAAATTTTTCTAATACTGATGATATGAGTATGGATTATCTCCAATTCATGCGAGAATAGGGTGCATGGAGTTTATATTTTGCTGAAAGTGAAACGAACAAAGAAATATTAAATGCACGAAAACAAATTATAATTTATGAGCAAAGCTCCCATCGTGCGTCGGTTTAATATTTACAATAATTGCATTTTGCTTTAGTGTTTCTCTCCCAATTTCACTCTTTATACGTTGGTTAGTGTGAGTGTTAGCACACTTGCCTTCTCGAATTTCGATCGTCGTGCTGTGCAAATATTTTCCCTCTCTGTGTTCTTTCGTTACGCTTTGCAACGGCTGTTTGTTGTTTGGATCATCTCCGAGTGCATGTGCAGTAGTAAAGAGCCACCGGTTGTGCGAGGACTTCTTAGAGCTAGCTGATTCCAGCACAGCAAAGACTAGGCCTACGTTGACAAGCGCTAGCCGATAGTTTCCTCTTTTCGCCACCTGACATTCCTCTCCAGGAATCCTACACGAAAAGGTCGGTTCTGTCACAGATCGCCAAGTTGTTCGACCCTGCCGGGTGGCTGGCACCCTTTGTCATTCGGGCCAAAATCCTTATGCAAGCGCTTTGGTAACGAGAGTTAGGCTGGGACCAACCTCTGCCTGGTGATCTCCTCACCCAATGGCGAGAGTTTATCCTCAGCTTCTCCAGCCTTCGGGATATTCGTGTGCCTCGATGGGTACACTTCCAGCCTCGAGCCACTATCCAATTTCACGAGTTTTGTGACGCATCTGATCGTGCTTACGGAGCGGCTGTCTATCTGCGTGTCGAACATGGCGATTAGATCTTCGTCAGTCTGCTCTGCGCCAAAATGAGTGTCGGTCCGATCCAGCCCTTTCGAAACCCCGCTTGGAGCTCTGCGGTGCTGTTCTCCTGACTGACCTATGTTTGGTACTGCTCCCGGCATCCCCGGCAGTTAGTTTTTAGTCCTTTTACTGGACCGATTCGACCATTGTCTTAGCCTGGCTAAACAAGCCTGCGCGCAATTGGACAACCTTCGTCGCTAATCGGATCAGTAAAATAACTGAATTCACCAATCCTGGTGATTGGCATCATGTGAGCTCAGAGCACAATCCAGCAAATCTAGCTAGCAGGGGGGCTCATCCACGAGAGCTCCTCTCAAATCCGCTATGGTTCCATAGTCCAGAATGGCTTCTACTTTCCCAGTCTCACTGGCCATTCTTTCCCGCTCCTAACTTGGAGACTGTTATGGAACAAAAACCCTGCAAGTGTCTCGCGGCAATTTCGTCACCTACAGTTGAATTCCTGAGCAGGTTCCCAGAATTCAACAGAGCACTACGCGTGACTTCCGATTTCTTAATCGATGCAAGAAATCTCCCATTCCTTCGTCATTAGAACTCGGCTCACGGCTGGTAAATAAATTATTTTCAATTAAATTCTTACTTTACTATCCATTATGGCCTTCCAGTTCCTGTTGAAGGTAGAAGGCCAGATCCCACTTCTGATGTCGGAACAATATTATTTTCAGCCATTTTTTCGCGCAGCGAGCTTCGACTACACTCGAATTAGTAATGTAAAAAAACATCGATGCATCGACAATCGATGTTTTTTGGCGATGTTTTCCGATGTTTTTATTGATATCGATGTTTGACAGAACATCGGGCGTTAAATTTCACAACATTTCAGAACATATGGATACACTGCCGCATAGAAAAATTCGCGAATTTGTTTTATTTTTTTACCCTGTGTTTGCAAAGCCAAAGTAAGTAAATTGTTGAAAATATATATAAATATAGTTATTTGCAACAGCGTTTGAAAATGCTCTGCTATTTCGTAGCATTTCGTTGAGCTCTCGCTACCGCTCTCATTTTTGACGAGAGCCGTAGCAGAGTTGTAGCCCAACAATAAAAAGTTTGTGCTCTGCTATGCTCTCAGTTCTGTTTCATCAAAAACTACAGTTGTAGCGAGTAGCACAAAAACGAATGATGCGCTACGCTCTGCCGTAGCGGTAGCTGAATGCAGATAGCGAAAGCGATAGCTGAAAACAGCGAACGAGATGAAATCATAGCGAGATGAAAACGGAGCGAGATGAAAACAGAGCGAGATGAAAACAGAGCGAGATGAGAGTAAAACAAATGTGCGAGAGCGATATGAGCAGGGCTGTCATTTTAGATTTTTTGCCGTCAGATCTGGCAAATGGGAGCGATTTGAGCAGCCGCATTTTGTTTTGTGTTTATTTTTACTTCAATTTTTGATTGATGTCAAATTAACGTAGGGATAAATTGTGTAGTTACAGAAATCAAATAATAAAAAACATTTTTTCAGTTACTAAATTAGAAATTATACTCAAAATCTTTATTTATATTCATTTTCAAATAAAGACATTAAAAAAAAAAATAAAAAATTAAAAAAAAAACCTATTTCAGTAACGAAATTAGAAACTAAAGTAAATAAACATATACTAATCTTCATTTTCAAATAAACTTAAATTCTCTATAGCACTATCTAAATGATTCGAATTAAGCCTAACTAAAAGTATGTTCTCCAAAGTCTCATGACTTAATCGATTTCGATTATCGGACAGCACCAGTTTCAACGAGGAAAACGCTCTCTCTATTGTAACCTGCAATTGTAAAGAAATGTATATATTGTTTTTAGCTTTGTATTTTTGTATTTATTAAAACCGAAATACTTACTTGAGTTGGCGGTATAGCAAAACATACTTTGCTTAGGGCGTAAAGTTCGGGATCGGTTGACTTTTTGTATTTCCAGAAACATAAAACATCTGTATTCGCCTTCATCACTGGTAACTTTAGTGTTTCAATCTTTGCATGGACATTAGTTGACTCATTTGGAACAACCATACTGGCACTTAAAAAATCGTCTAACAGCTCGAAATTATTGTCTTTGGTGTGTCCAGCGTCTGTATCCAATGAATTATTTGAGTATGTCATACTGGGATTGGAACCGAAAATTTTAATTTTTTCCCACAATGTCTTTAAAAAATCGATTGCTCTTTCTTTTTGGGAATTATCTATAATATTATGGAATCTGGGGTCCAAATAAAGGCAAGCGTCGAAGCCCACGTTTTTTTTTTCATTTTTTATTTTTTTTTTAATGTCTTTATTTGAAAATGAATATAAATAAAGATTTTGAGTATAATTTCTAATTTAGTAACTGAAAAAATGTTTTTTATTATTTGATTTCTGTAACTACACAATTTATCCCTACGTTAATTTGACATCAATCAAAAATTGAAGTAAAAATAAACACAAAACAAAATGCGGCTGCTCAAATCGCTCCCATTTGCCAGATCTGACGGCAAAAAATCTAAAATGACAGCCCTGCTCATATCGCTCTCGCACATTTGTTTTACTCTCATCTCGCTCTGTTTTCATCTCGCTCTGTTTTCATCTCGCTCCGTTTTCATCTCGCTATGATTTCATCTCGTTCGCTGTTTTCAGCTATCGCTTTCGCTATCTGTTTTCAGCTACCGCTACGGCAGAGCGTAGCACATCAGTTGTTTTTGTGCTACTCGCTACTGCTGTAGTTTTTGATGAGACAGAACTGAGAGCATAGCAGAGCACAAACTTTTTATTGTTAGGCTACAACTCTGCTACGGCTCTCGTCAAAAATGAGAGCGGTAGCGAGAGCATAGCACAATTTTTATTGCTATTGCTGCTATAGAGTAGTTTTTGCAAACGCTGATTTGCAATTACAAATGTATTTATTCTAGAATAACAACAAAGACAAGCTTTTGCTGGAGGCACTTTACAAAAATTGATGGAAATAGCGCAAAATGCAACATTTGCAACAAAGTTTTGAAGACTGCGGGTAACACGACCAACATGAAAGACCACCTGCGGTCCATTCATAAAATAGAACAAAATGTTGAAGAAATGTTGTTTAAGAATTGAATTAACGAAAAATAACGTAATTGGTAGAAAACATCGATACATCGATGTTTATAGCCGATGTTTTACACAACATCGATTTATCATTTTGCAAACATCGATGAACATCGACATCGAATCTTCGACCCAAATTTACATCACTAACTCGAATTCTAAACACAACTAACTGCGTCTCTCAATTATTCATTGTAGAGCTAGCAAAATATCGATAGTGGTCCCATTCGATATTTTCGATATTTTAAGAAAGAAAATTCGATACTATCGCTAAAAAAGTGTTATTGACGGAACAACTCAAATATTTGAACAAAGTACGTTTATTTAACTCAAGGCAAATCGAATAGGTTATATAAATAATATTAAATTATAATTAGTCAAAATTTAATTCATTCGTTGAACTTTATAACAAAGTAAATAAACTAAAATATAACTTTGATCCAATAAACTTATAAGCTACAAACTTCTTATAATCTACAAAACACTGTAAGTTTCTTAAAAACTACAAAGCACTTCAAACCTCTTATAAATTACAAACTATATCAAACTAATGAGATCCATTAGATTTCTTGAAAAGAAAAAAAATAGAACTAAGCAACTTTAATTAATCCAGTCATTTTTTTGTAAGAATAGAAGCATATCAACATGGTTTGCCTTTAGGGAAGCCCGTCGATTGCTTATAACAAGCCCAGCCTTACTGAACATCCTCTCCGATTCCGTCGAAGTAGCTGGTACACATAAAAATTTTTCCGCAAGAACTTTTAGTGCACCTTCATTGTACTAAAATTAATAAACGTATTTTAATTTTAAAATGTGTTAAAAAATTAATACAATTACCTTCCAATATTTTAAAGGATCCACGTCTTCTTCTGAATTCATCTTTAAAAGGTATTGACGAAGCTCCAATATAGCGTTTGACCTTTTAGTCCGAGGCACGGCTTGAATGTTATTTTGCACAAATTCAAAGAGAGTTTGGCTAGTCTTCGTGGTTTTTTCAGTGAGCGTTAATGGCTCTGGTTGGTCTGAATCAAGGGAATCTAGGGAAGCGAGTTCATTTTCGAGAAGCTTTTCCCCTTGAACAGCATTAAAAGGTGAACGATAGCCTTGCTTTTTAAATCGTGGATCTAGCAATGTAGCGATTCGAGGCAGTGAACGCTCTTCATATTTAGACATCCTATTTTTGATACCATCGATTAAGCATGTGTACGCTTCCAATCCTTCTGTTGTGGTTAAATTATTTTTAATTTTATCTAAATTGTGCATTAGTCCACAAGTGATCGGAATTTTAAGGGATATGGTCACTGTGGTGCTTGATGAGATCTGTTTTGTGGCACTCTCAAATGGAGACAGTAGCTTTGCTAAATCCTTTAGAAGGTTAATTTCGTCCGCAGTAAACGGAGGTGGTGCTTTAGATACCATCAAAAGTACACTATTGATAGCATCATACACATTTAAAATTCGATCTATCATGTAATAGGCGCTGTTCCAACGGGTAGGAACTTCCTGTTTGAGGCTGTATTTTTTTTCGATTTTTTGGGCTTCTTTAAGTTTGTTGTACATAATTGTACTATTTTTAAAAAATTTTACAGTGCTTTTACATTTAGATAATAAAAAAGCCAAGCAATGCAGTTTTAGGCAATCTTGCACAACTAAATTTATTGTGTGTGCAAAGCATGGTATATTTCGTTTGTGCAACAGCTCACATGCTTTTATCATTGCGCTTGCATTGTCCGTTACTATAGCTATTACTTTTGAAGATATGTTCCATTTTAAAAAAAATAGCTTTTAGCGATTCCGCAATGTTCTGCCAAGAATGATTTGCCTCTGAATCTAACTTATTTGTGGATAACACGGCTGTGCGCAGATCGAAGTCCTTTGAGATAAATGAGCAAGTGACTGTTAAATACGTCTCATTAGCTTGAGAAGTCCAAAGATCAGTCGTAATGGCACAATGCTTCACGTGCTTTAAAATTTCAACCAATTTTGCCGTCTTTTCCTCTACTTGCCTTGCCATGAGTACATTGCGCATGGTCGCACGTGATGGCAATTTATACCGTGTATCAAATACATGAAGCATAGCTCTAAATCCACTATCTTCGACTACTTAATTTACAAAAAGAATTATGTCAATATGTTGCTTAGTTTAGTAGTTATAGCTAAAAGTACATAAAAAGACACGATTTATATAAGATAATAAGACTGCATCAACATTTTTTATTAGTTTTTTACTATTTATATGTTTTTTTCGTTCCCAATGAAAAAAGTTGCTGCTGTACGAAGACATTATTGGTTCACTGTATGTGAAAAGGACAGGGTATTTTTCGATATGCCACGCCCAATAAAACTCGATAAAATATAAGCGCTAGCTCAATAAACTCTGGAGCATATAATAAATGTCTTTACATTCAAAATCAGTTTAAGAGGTTGAGAGCGACCATGCCGTTCTCGTAACGCATAACACTGCATTGTGGTATTATACCCTGAACCCATTGAAAATGGGAAATCAGGGTATAATGGTTTTGTGAAAAAGTATATAACGGGCAGAAGGAGTCATCGCAGACCCCATATTCTTGATCAGGATGACGAGCTGAGTCGATATAGCCCTGTCCGCCTATCCGTCCGTCCGTCCGTCGGTCCGTCCGTATGAGTGTGTCGATCTCAGAAGTTATTTGGCATGCGTACTCGTGTATACCATACGCAGTACGAGTTTGCTTTATTTTTTCGATAACTCATCCGATAACTTTTTTATCGAGAATAATCGAAAAATTGATTTTGTTTTTTCAGCCTAATTTGAACACTTCAAGGACTAGAGACTTGTGCACTAGAATGTGCACTCATTTTGACCATATGATTACGCTCTAAAAGTTTCATTAAGATTGTATGTCTACAAAAGAAATTATTCAACAAATAAATTCTTATAATATTGCTCACACTGCAGCGCAGCCCAAGCGATTTGCGCAACAAAAAACAGGGCATGATCTCATTAAAATTGGAAAATCATCGATAGCTATTGCTATGATCATTGCATCATTGCATTCAAATTACATACATACATGTATAATTTATACAATTTTGATTTTTATTATATATTTATATCCATATATTGGATACCGGCTTCAAGCTAGCCGCAGATCAGCGCGATTTTCCTATACACGTGTACACACTCATCGTCTATTCTATGCGTACAGACAGAAGCGCGCCTTTTCTCACATTCTTAGAATTTCGATTGATTTCTGGACTTTCTAGCCGTTACTGTAATTTTGTCTGATGACGCTCTCTTAATAAGCTATTCTATTTTAGCAACTGGCTGGTCAAGCAAAGCAGTGGTGCGGGTGCTAAGGGCGACGCAAGTAATGTTATAGTAGGAGGTTTCGAACCTCTTCGATTTTATTATTTTATTTGTTTTTTTTTCATACATATTTCGTTTTTTATTAAATAGATATTTTATTGGGAAGGTGCGAGCTTGACTGAATGGCACTTAATACTTTTCCTTCTCTTAGTCGAATAATTTTATAAGTCTAAATTTGTTTCTTCTTAAATAGCTCTCTAATACATATAAGCAAATACATACAAGCATTCCAGCCTTATACACGCGCTCATTTGTATTTGTGTATGTAAGTACACATAAATGCGTAGTCTAGCATATTCTAAGAATCTCGTTGCGATTGATTTGTCTTTGCATTGTTTTTGAATTTCCAGCCGCTACACTGGCTTTTCTTTGCTATGTGGCGTCATAACAATAATGTGATTTCGTTTTAACTACTGTTGATCAAAACGACACGGTGGTGCTGTAGGCTGAAGCGCCGGCGATCTTTATTTCAGATATTTTGACATGAACACGCTATTCGGCTTGGGTGCGAGTTCAAATCCCGCGGAAAACTCTTTTTTGTAAATTGCAAATTTTTTTTGTTATTTTAGCTTTTTTATATTTGATTAATGTTATAAAAATGTTTCCTTCCGTGCTATCAATGCCTATTAAGCCTATTTATGTGTACAAATACATAAATAGATGGCTGACGCATATAAATGCCGCAATATGGGCACTATAAATGCCGATTGCCATGCCCCTAGTGGCCGTAGACTCCTCATATTTGGCCAGTTCTTAAAACAAGTAACCGGTACCCTAACTGCAAATGAATGCTTACCCTCAAAAAAAAGTGAAAATTACAGTGTATTTTTCGATATGCCAGGCCCCTAAAGAGGCTTTAAAATTATTTTTGAAACATCGATAGAGGAGGCTACCAGTAACTCAACTATCCAAATTTGAAGCTTCTAGCTCTTAAACTGTAGGAGAGAACTTTTGCGGTTTGCCACGCCCCCTATGGGCGGACATATATCTACCATAGCTCGTTGGACTTGGGTGATCAACTCGCGTATATATACCAAATTTCAGATCTCTAGCATCAATAGTGTCCAAAATATAGCCGAATTCGAAAAATCACTATATCTTCAGGTCCGATTCGCCACGCCCCTAGTAGGCGTAGATATATATTTTTTCGGGTACATGTCATAACGCCCAGTGTCACAAGGCCCATGGGCGCTAAGACACACATTTTTGCGACATAAAGCCCACGGGCGCAATGACACTTTTAAATGTGAGCTAGCGCCCACTCCAAAAGCGAAATAACGCCCGAGGGCGCTACGACACAATTGAAGAGTGTCATAACGCCCTAAATTTCTAAAAATTTCCAAAGCGCATTATCAATCGATGAAAGAACCGTACCAAAAGTACCGTTTAATATGTTATCTCTTCTGTTTTGGTGTTTTACACGTTCTTGGCGCATTTGCTAAGAATAATTGTCATCAGTTTGTCACTAATCTTCAGGCAAAGTGCACTTAAAATGGAATATGAATATTATTTTGTTGCTGGCTTTCGAAAAAATTCGAAGTTATTGCTTTTACCAAGCCAGCAACAATTATTTAAAATTAAAAGTACTTCGAAGAATAGTTCGCGGTATATTTGTTATATTAAAGATTGTAATGTGACCGTGAGCTTGTCCAATGCTGGCGTTTGCACTCAACTGAGTCTCGAGTGCAGCCATAATCATTCGTCTCCTCAAGATTTAATAAAAAAGCTCGAACTAATCAATAATATAAAAAGCCAATGTGAGCAAAAAAACTTAAAAAGAAAAGGAGTGCGTGAAATCTTTTATGAGGAGTGTCAAAAGAGTGGAGAAACTGGACATTCAGTTGCTTATCCGAAAATAAGACGGCAATTGTTTACAATTCGGAGTGAAGTCACGCAGAAAAATCCAAATTCACCAAGTGAAACTAAATTGCTATTTGACGATACCGAATTTCGGCAAGAATATGGCACTTCAAAGCACAACCAGCAACCCTTTTATAGGACAACAATATTAGAAGAAAAGTTTGCTTATTGTATTTTTTATCGCCAAGCATTGCAAAGATGATTGAAAATAGAGTAGGAGAGCGTCACTTTTTGATAGATGGAACGTTTAATATAACCCCTTCATGCGGCTTTAAACAACTACTTATTGTTCATTATCTATATAGAAACCACGTCTGTACATAAATACTTGTTGTGCTATATTCAAATTAGTTGCTCTCAATTAACATATATCTTTCTTCATGTTACAGACCTTTCCATTTATATACATTTTGATGACAAAAAAAAATAACTGATGCTTACGAACACCTTTTTGCATTTTTGAATGCACACTACTTTAAGTTTCAGCCAAAAAGCTTTACAACTGCCTATGAGATGGCCTTAAGAAAAGCGTTGAAAACTGTTTTCCCAATGCCACTATAGGAAAAAAGCCCGAAATTTTGGCATCAATTCTAAAAGTAGAGCTAGGAGGTTGAAATTTTACATACACCTAAGATAGACTAAGTTAGAATTTCGAATTTTTTTTTTTACGATTTGACCACGCCTTCTCCCCGCCTCCTTGTTACCCATTAATGAAATCATGTGTACTTCAGACATAAATTTTTTAAATATATTATATATATCTTACATTACATATTTTCATATAAAAATAAATGTGTACAGCTTATTATATAATAAAAAAATTAAAATGTGTATATTCATTCCGTTGATACGCTGTAAAATTAAGAAAAATATGAAAAAAAAAAGTTGTATTTTTATTTTACAATAATTACCACATCTCCAAAAATTAACATCAATAATCATAATTTTCTTCATCCAATTCGATATTCGGGTCGAAATTGTTTGCATCATCCTCATCCTCATCTTCAGCTTCTAAACTTTCAGTTTCATTTGTAAATTGATGCGCGATTTGCGGAGGCTCAATCAGAGCAAACAGATCAATCACTTCGCTTGGAAATTTTAATTTTTTGTGAAGCTTCTGTCTTTTTTAAGACAGAGACTTGACAAAAGCGGATCAGATGAATCTAATGCCCTGTGAAAAACATCAGTGATGTTGTTTAGCCTACTGCTCTTTCTGGCATGCGACCTTCTGTCATTTTTATAAATTTTGTTTCGAGCTTCTGATGCGTTTTCTCCGAGAACACCAACAGGAACTATGCAGCTATCCATTATTTGGTATCCATGGATCAAAACTTTGTGCACAGTTGGGGACATGGGATACCAAGAATAGTTATTCATATATATTTCAAATGTACGGACGCAGAAAGCTCTAAATTTATCGCTATTTATATAATGTTCGGATGAGATAGCAATTAATATTATATGAAAGTTCCTGATAACTTCATAATTGAGATTTAGTATGTCAGAAAACTTTCTAGGATCTGAAAACGCTCTTCGGGCGGTGTTTCCATCATTACTGCTTCCACTACCGTTCTGTTTGGGCTTATCAACTATAAGACCCATTTCCAGCCATAACTTTTCTTGTATTTGTTGCTTCCGTGCTGCGACTTGATTTTTATCTGCTTCCTTTATGCGCCATTTCTTTAAATCATTTTTATAAGATATTCTTAACACAAACTCTAAAAATCTTATCCAAGCATGAAGTGGGCTTAATCCATACTTAAGATTTTTTTCAGTCACTTTAAAACACGCTGAGTTAAAATCAGCAATTTCTAACAATTGTTTTGGTTTCGCCCCGCATAGAGGGCATGATTGGCACGAATTTGTACCCGTTACAATATTCAAAACCTTTCC